TTTACACGTGCCATTAAGTGTGATTGACTGAGGAGGTTGTCAAGGCGGGAACATGTGTATCAGGCTCTAAAAGGTGTTCTATTTAAGACCACATGCATGGTTCCGAAAATAATGATTATAAGAAAAACACTTTATGAGCGAAAAAGCAGGAGTTACGCAAGAGAGGCTCAAGAGGTGGGCGGGATCATTTGGGTTAGGGGTGGGTAGTAGTGCTTTATTATCTGTGGCACTCATGTAGTTGGCCTACCCGCCGCAAAAATTGCTTGCACTGTGACGTTACAGTGTTAGATGGTTTAAATGAATGATATTCTGTGCTCGCTAGGTGAATGACGGCTCTCATAATATGCTTCGTATTGTAATTTTCATCCAGTTCCATCTACACTGAGCAGAGAATTGTTTTTTTTTTTGGCGTAATTTTCAAGTAAATGTGTAATTTGTTCTGACCAATCTAATTTATCATTTACAATGTTTGAATCAATAATAATTCGTGTCTGTCGGGCAAACGACGAGCCTCATAAAATGCTTTGTGTCGTAATTTTTATCCCAATCCCATCGTCATTAAACCAATATGTCAATTACATAATGTTATTTCATGTTCAGTTGATTTTTGAGTTAATTAAGTAGTCTGATCAATCGACTAGAATGTGAATGAATGAAATTCGTGTATATTACGCAAACGACAAATTTCGCAGTTACCTTCGCACCACAGATTCCATACTTAATTAGATTTAAACCGAAAATTTATATTTTCTACAACAGTGACCAGTTCATTCAGTATCAAATGATACAGCTAATAAATTGATAATTTCATTTATTACTATTGATTCTCAGTGTTTTTACTGCCCTTTTTCGCAGTGATATGACGCTTCATATATACCTTAGAGAGTTGAGTGGTGAGCAAAGATACGACCTCAGACGGGAGTTAAATCTGAGTTCCATCCATACCGGGGCGCGTGCTACCACTACATCACCGAGGTACATCTGCACTATCATTCATTCTTCAATGTCTCCGTAACAGCTATCAGCCACTATCTATATAGCTGTTGATTTTTTTCTACTTAACCGCGGATTCTAACTACCAATAATTGTCAGATTGTTCTATGTGCGTGTTATACAAGTTTCATGGAAAAAAATTGATGATACTTTCTTCAACTAATGTTGAGAATCGAACAGTTGTTGATTCAGTTATTTCATTAGCTAATAAACTAAATTTAGTGGATCAACCGCAGGAAACTCTAATAACTTCGAAAACAATCATGTATCGTTAGGTCTTTTCATTAGTTTTGGTACTAGAGCAATAGACACCAAATCTGTTAACTAGAAGTCATTAAAAATTGCTTAACTACACTATTTAAAGTTTGAACCACCAGCCTGAACAAATTTCTACCATCTCTCAGGCAATAGAACAGCACTGCGCTCATAGAACTCGTGGTATTGGACCTATAGTATGTTATCAATCCTCAACGCAAGTGATTGATGTCTCTGAACTTCTCCCTGTTCGGGAAGTGCTCCAAAGACCGGAAGAGCAGGTAATCAGGCGGCGACAGGTCAGAACTGTACGGCGGATGGTTCAGCAACTCCCAGCGCTAGAGTTGGCGACATGCAGCTGTGCGTCGCCTTGAAGCAGAATGAGATTGCGAGACGTCGACGTGACAGGGCCCAATTGCAGCGGTCCAGATGCTCACAGTAGCGCTTGGAATTGATCGCCTATCCGACTAGCAGCAAGTCCAGTTGAACCGGATCGGTCTAGTCCAAAATAACGATGAGCATAACAGGCACGAGGCAAGTATAAAGAGATTTCGTACCATAGGAAAGCTCAGGAAATTCTGCAATGATTTCGTACCTGGGAGCTGACAGAAATGTACTCACGTCGAAGACACATAGTTTGAATGAAGTTGTCAAGCAGTGTTCATGACCATTGGTTGACAGATTTGGTTTTTATCGCTGCAGTGCTAAAACTTACGAAAAGGTCTATTGTTATTTATCAACTGATTAGTCAAATGTATCGATTAGTTTTTTACCCAAAATTTGAAAAACAGTATATTTTCCGCGGATTCAAATATGAGTACAATTATGATCATTTTTTTCCTAAGTTGACATATATATATATATATATATATATATATATATATATATAAAGTTTAGAATCTCGCAATTTCTTCTTTGCAATTCATTTCACGTGTTTTTCTCCAATTTGGTTCTGTATCTGACCCTATCTTATTCGTTATCCATTTGTCCTTCCTTTGTCCTTTACCCTTTATCACTTGTTCGTTACCTAGTCTTGCATAGATCTCTTGTCGCTGTTGATCAGTTGATCCTGAAGCTAGAAAAAGTTCAATATCCTCTCTTATATAACAATACCTTCCAATCAACTATTTGGAAACCTCGCAGAAAAACTCAGAATAGTCTGATAGAATGCTTTACGGCTTTCAAGAAGTCTGGTATGACATCTCGGTGGTAAACGTACGTGTGGTATACGGAACGTACTGTTATATATGTTTCTGTAACAACATCTGTCAACGACAATCAATCATTCTGAAACGCAAGATTCCTTGATCCTTTCGCTTGACGATGAGTAATACTTCTTCAGCGCCGATTGCTATTATTAGCAGAGGAGAGCCGTAGAGAGTGTGTGACCTCTTGAAAGGCTTGAAACATTCTATCAGACCATTTTCTTTCTCAAACTAATGCATTCCAGATTTTCTGGATTTGCGAAATTCCGCTACGAGATGCTGACAGCCCCGTTCACTTTATCTGCTGTGACCAAGTGGTCAAGATTCGCCTTATTCGGTCTTCTTGGAGCTGGTCTATGTACAGCCTTTCGGTGAGTTAATAAGCCTTTTTCTTCTATTTATTTACTTCTTCGCTTACTGTTTGGAGTTGAACCTTCAGTAAGCGGTCAAGTTTTGTGATATACTGTTTTTTTTCTGGTCTTTTCAAGATAAACAGAGAAACTCTAAAAATAGTTCGCAACAAATAGAAACACCAAGCAAGTCGATTAACAAGAACAACAAAGACAGTAATAACAGCAAACACCGAGCGGGCAAGTAGCAGCAATAATAATGAAGAAAGACTGAAACAGCAGACAACATGAATTGAGGAGCACCAACATCAACAACACCAACAACAGTTAAACAACAGACGTCAGCAAAACAGCAAACAAACAAATAAGAACAGTTTGGAACGAAAACAAATGCTCTATAAACCTGCTCCCTTTTAACGGTGGTATGATGTTACAAAAAATATATATCCGATAAATATCTGACAATCTGATAATATGTTTTGAGCCTTTCATGAGTCGGGTATTGAACTTTTAAGGTGCTACAAACATGTTTCGCCATCATACACTCGTTATAAGCACGGTGCCCTTCGATTTAGACAATCCTTTGCAGGCGAGTATACCCCCTGCTTGTAAAGGAATCGACGCCGATTTATTCGAATCACCACATGTAGAGTGACAAATTCTTCCAACTTTGTAGTGACCACAGTGGAACGCTTATAGCTGGTAGAATGAGTCAATCCTTTACTGCCGACTGATTATATGTTTACATAGACATCTCCCGAAAATCTGACATCGATTCTTTTATAAGTCGGGATATATACATTGCAAGGAATTGACTAACCGAAGGACAGCGGTTTCTAATGAGCCTATGATGGCGGAACACTGTCTATTCGATCCGGCGTTGTTTTTTTCTTGAGTGAGGACATGTTTCCTGCAAAGAATTGGCTAAAGCGAAGGCACCGTGCTTCTAATGAGCCTATGATGGCGAAACATGCGTGTAGTAGCGTAAAAGTGCCATACTCGACTTCATGAAAGGCTCAAAACAAACTCTGAGCCCTAGAAGGGAGTCGAGCCCGGCAATGCAGTGAAATAATAAATATAAAGTTGAAGTAAAAACAAAGATCAATGTATCAGATTATGGTGGTATTTACTCAGTCACAGACACACCGCAATGAAATTAGCACCAGTAGCAGGAAAGAGTGGTAGCAGAACAGGAGTACCGTTGGTGCAATGGTTAGCACGCGCTCCTGAAACAGAAGAGATGCAGGCCTGCTCCATGTTCGAGGACAACGTTTTGAATGCCATTCGACATTATCGGATTTGTAATTGCAACATTGTACTACTGCTAAACAGCACCTGAATAAAGAGAGTTGCATTGTGCGGAGTAGGAGAAATTCACTCATTTTGGCTATTATAGGATGTTAGTAAAATGGGACAGCAACGATGGAGACGACAAGAAATCAATCGACGCTGACACATGTGAGATTTAATCTCTCCTCTAATTTTGTGAATCAAACTAATCTCTCAACTCACTGAAGATTTCTTTTGAATTCATTGTTAACCTTTGAGCTATACGCTAGTGTTTATGTTGCTACAGCTGACTTAGCCTCAGGTTACAAATCTTTTTGGCAGCTGCAGATTTGAGAGTATGAAGTGGTTCAAATCATTGGACCCAAGACGGAACGTGAACCCACATTTTACCTATACAGGAAGCTCCTGCTACCACTACACCACCGAGACCAACGCATTGCTACCACTCTTTCCACTAGATATTTTATTGTAGATGTCATGTCAGCAAACATCCTCTGAGGAGTTTTCGTCGGGTATCACAAATATTAAACCCAGTTAATTTTCTCTTCTTTATTCATCCAAGTAGGTTTGTTCTTTAGTGGCTTGATTTACTGCTATGCTTGTAATGTTGTAGGACAAAATGATTTCAGTTTACTCAAATTTTTTTGATGATTCTCCTTGGAGAGACCCTTGGTATATAAATGAGGTGATACAGGTTAAGGTGATTGCTGAGTCGTCTCGTCCATGAAGGGGAGGGAGGAGATGGACGATTAGCCTTATAGATATTTAGATTGTCCACATGTGTATTCTTTCATCATACAAAATCCAATACGAGCATAAAATATTCCGCTCTCGTGATGTCTTCACATAAAACTAGCGCTGAATTTTTGGAGAAGTATTTTGAAGAAAGAGTGGTACCAAAGCGGTGACTTCGGTGGTGTAATGGTAGCGCACTCTCTCGGTAAGGGTGAAGCGCGGATTCCACCTCCGCCTGGGATGAAATTTCACATATCACTCATCAATCCTGGATTTATACTGGAAAAACAGCTCATTTAGTATCATCAAACCTCATTCAGCGGTTTATCTGATGGTATTTGGTCAAATGATCTACGGCGCTTTCAATCCACTTTTGGACTTTCAATACACATTAGAATGAATCGAGATATGAGATTTTCTTTGAACTTTTGATTAACGACGTTCGTATAAAAATTGCTCAAAATCATGTGAATTTGGAAAGTATATTCGCCTTTCTTCAGCTCGTTTAATAACAAAATTGATCAAGATTCCAGCAGAAAGTGTGGGAGTGATCGGTCGATGTGGACGAAATTTATGGCAAACTGAAAAGGGCACGAAGGTAAGAAGGAGGTGAATGGATTAGCTAAAAGAGTGATAGCAGAAGAGGAGCCCCAGTAGTGCAATTGGTTTGTGATTAGCGGAATACGAGCGCGCTTTCCGCCTGAAGTTCAAAGTTTTGCATATCACTCACGTGATATCTCATATATGATGATGGCAGAATGAAGCAGTCCTAAATCAAAGACCAGATAGCTTTGTAATCCATATGGAAACTAGGTTATGTAGTCGTAGAGGATCCCAGAACTCGGTGATATATGATGCTCTTCGGAAATTCTGCCTCTTTTTGATATTATAAGGTGTAAGTGATTAGAGTCTCAAAAATGGCTCATAGCCGTTTTCATCCTATTAAAGAGCGGGGAAAGAGCGGTGGGGAAGACATCTGAGTAGAGTGTTCCACATCAAAATTTGATAACTTTAGGATATCTTTATAGAGTTTTTTATTCGTACAAATATAATAGAATGCCAATGCATTTGACTACATCACAGCGTTTACTTGTTTGATTTTCTGTTTTGCAAACATTTCTGTTAATTTATAAAATTAACACCTTTTAACCTCTAATGTGTTTGCTTTACAATGTTTCTCAATGGGCATTCGACTTTCCTCGTCTTTTATTTTATTTTCACCCTTAACTTTTTCTTATTTTATTCACTTCCATTCTACTATACTATTTGCAACAATTTAAACACTTGATGAGAGACTTTATGATGAGTCAACTATAACTAAGAGATCTACAGAAGCAAAGTTATTTGTATAACGTCTCGGCATCTTCGTCTTCTCAGAGTTGATCGGTTAAAGTTGATAGTCCACAGCCATTTGTTCTGGAATCCGAATAATCTTAAATAAGCAAATAATAGAAAAATAAGACCAAATCACTTTTATTTTCCAGACTTTCATTCAGTTGATCAACAACGACAGGTATAGCAACGAATACTACAAATTGTATGAGTTTTATTCAAGTTTCTATAGTTTTTATGTAAACTGTCGCTCGCCAAGTTGTTCAATTTTCGCTTCCTTTCCTCTCCTTCCGCTTTAATTGAGTGAGGATCGAAATGTGGAGGAGGTGGAGGATTCGTCAATAGGCACGGAAGCTAATAACGTGTCCCAGCCAATTTTTGGCTTCTGATGCTTAAAGATTTTGATGGAACTCCCAGACAAGTGAGCAATGAACGATTTCTTTGCGAACTGAATACGATATATATGTAAATTGATCTAATTGGCGCAGTGTGAAGTCTCTATCAAACAGAAGAAATAAGTGGTCTTTTGACAATAAAAATTAGTAGCAATGATTGCTATCCTATCTCTCAGTTACTGTCCGAGTGAATTTGAAAGGATCATGTGCGAACACAACTATTCAGCTATTTCAAAAGTCATTTTACTCGATTCGAGTGCAAATCCTAAAAATGGGGATTTCATGCATATGGAAAAAGAATCTGAGTTATATGCAAAACTTTTGCCTCCCTGGCGGGAGTTGAACTCGCATTCAACCTATGCCAGGGCGCGTGCCACCGCCCTTCACACACTCCATTTTTGATATTGAATATCGCATTTTATGAGGATGTTTAGCCTTTCTCTATTTTTGTCTCAAACAAATAATATCTGACCGTGCCTGAAGCTGATGCCAAGTTACTTCCAACTATGATGGTTTATAGTAAAACCTTTCGGGCAGTATTATTCATCATTGCACTGAGTCTCAAAAGCTGACTGTCTTCATCATAATGGGCGGTGTGTGGCACAATAGTAAGAGGTGCCCTGAGGCGCAAATGTGATCGATGATTCGAATCTGCGCTCAAGGCCCACAGAACTTTCCATCCTTCCGGGGTTTGCAAATTGGTACCAGACTTGTCTAGAAGCATAGTAAAACTGACTTGATACATCTGCATGCGACCGTGAGACATTGTGAAGGCCTCATATGCATTCATCAGCTCAAGCAATCGTAGACGTAAAAAAAGGCATAGCACATGCTTCAGGGTTGACCAACACTGAAAGCCTTATCCTTTTATCTTTTATATCTTTTGAATGCTAAATCCCGAGAAGTTGGTTGTTCTGAACAAGATCCAGAATTTTCACACAATGATCTTATCTTAATCGTGTCCCTCTAGAGCCATTCGAAAGTGCGTCTCGCAAGTTCCAAATCATCGAAAACCTTTTTCGATATGAGTCACTTCAATTTTCTATGTGAGATTAATGGATCACTCAGTTGGGAGCTGCATGTGTATTGATAGTTTTTGCTGTGTATATTTCACAACCGGAGGGTATCTCTGTTATCTCACTTAAAGCTTTTCTACGTTTGCTAGGGATTCCAAGGTTTTTTGTGTTTTAGTTGTATAAAGCAATCTATCGTTCTGTGGGCTTAGGCCATTATTTTATATGGTCAAATCCGCTCCCAAGCTTAGGCCTAAATTTCATAAGCCATTAACGTAAACATATAAACGTGTAAAGGAAATCCCACAGTCCCTGAGTCATACGTTTTGCTTACACCGCTTTCAAAACGAAAAAATACTTCACTCAGAAACACAAAACGGAAAAATACTTCAAGTCAAAAACACAAATTGTGCGCCACATGTGAGCCGCGCTGTGCGATCAATCGACCGTGTGAACAAAATTATGTTTTATGAGTCATATATGACTCATGTTTGACATTACGAGCTAATTCGTGTCCAGCTGTGATGCTCGCCTCACTGCCAGTACTGTAGTGCAACCTTGCTCTTAGTTTCAGATTCAACTGGCTCATTTAGCGATTTACGGAAATGTTGCTGAGTCCGAAATTCCTCAAGTGACTAGATTTATGCTTGTACCTGAACACGCTGTTGAAGCGAACATTTGTATGTTGGTTTTCTTTTTCGTATGTTTTATATGTCATTTCTATAATTATTCAAGTTAATGAACTTATCCGTTGCGATACACATTGGATTTAATGCTCATGTGGGTGCATTGTGATCTCAGTAGAAATCTTTTTGTTCGTTTCTTTGTTGCATTACATTTCATTGTTGTTGTACTTTAGGGTGCTTAGGATAACTCGCTTGATATGGTAGCAGAACAGGCTGAGGAAAGCTATTTCTCATAAGTAATACCCTATGGAAATTACTTGTTCAGAAAAGCTTGAGTTGAACGGTGTCGCTGAGTATGGCATTTGGTAACACATTATTGCGATGTGAAATCGGCGGAGCACTAAGGAGACTTTCAATAAATGTAACTGTGGTGCAGATGTATATCTGCTGTCACCGAAACAAATGAAGGATTGCAGATCTATCAAGTTATCTTAAACATTTCCTCTAATATTGCAATACCTTTCTATTCGACTGTTTTGAGACATTGCTTAGAATAGTACAATCTGATAACATGTTTTAGGCCTCTCCGAGGTTTGATAGGGCACTTTTGGTGTTAGACGTACGTTTCGGCTCGTAGCAATCCTTTGAGAAATTTTAAGCGGGGTCCCAAAAACAGTCGAATGAAAAGGTGGTATTGCTACATGCGCTTTTACCAGCCATCGAGCAATCGACTGTAAGGCACTGTAATGTCAAGGTGTCTTTCCAGGTGACGTGTAATATATCATGTTCGAGGTGATACCCTTAGTTGTGGGGCTTGGTTGAACCGAAAGACACCGCGCTACTAATGATATTTGCTAGTAAGCCGAATCATGCGTTTAGCATTAGAAGTGCCATACCAGACCTCTGAAAAGTTTAGAATATTCTTCCAAATTGTACTGAAATGTGAACGAGGTCTCTAGCAATCAATGGAGAAAAATCTTCATCTTAGTGTTAGTTACTTTTAACGACTAGCTCTCTGTGCAAACAAAAAGATCTACTTCACCGAAGCATAGTGACTTTCGCGAGAAACTAAGTTCAAGTTAGACACCACTGGACTTACGAAATCTGACCGCTTGCCACTAACTTTGCCGTCATTGTTGTAACGCTTTTCTTCCACTCTCGATTTCTGATTCATTATTTTAAAGCATTGTGTCATTGTTCTTCATTAGCAGAAAGTATACTGAGTTTTATTGCAATTCACAGAATCAGTCTTTTCGCTGCCGCTGTTGGAGAGGAGCTAATAGAATGAAAACGCACTCCGCCGTTTGCTACATCATATAGCTAGATGAATTCAGTTCCTGACTAGTGAAACCCATACAAAATCATGATATGTTGAAGACGATGGTATTACTGGCTAAAAAATTATAGTTTACGAGAAGAAAACGGATGCCTCATATTGATGATTTTTCTCACAAATTGTCCATACTTTTTTGAGAAAAAAAATTGGGCGAAGCTTGCACTACTCCATTCTAACTCAAAGGCCAATGTTTCTGCGATTTTGCTCTCCTCAGAGCCTAGAAAATGTGCTGTACCAGACCATATTCAATTTCTCGGTCCTGACTCTCAATATTTGGTGAAGCTCATATCAAGAGGATTTCAATGGCATGTATATATACAGGTTATCTTTAACGCCGTACCAGTCATCTGAAGATTTCTACTGGGTAACAGTTTTGTTGCAATGACCTTTTAATTGTTAGATGGAAAAATCTTTCCAATTAATGGTATATATGGGTCTCGAGTAGACTTCTTCGAGCTTTGTAACGATTGAAAGAACATTGAGTTTCACGCTCAGCGCGCATTTTGTAGTCGATCAGGATGTGTGTACAGCTGTAATACCA